ATGGATAGATGATAGATACATAGATGATTGATAGATAGATGATAGATAGGTAGATAATAGATTGATAGATTATTGATTGATTGATAGATTGATAGATAGGCAGGCAGACAGATAGATAGATGATGGATGGATAGATTGATAGATAGATAGGCAGGCAGACAGATAGATAGATGATGGATGAATAGATAGATAGATGATAGATAGATGATAGGAGATAATAGATGATGGATAGATGATGGAAAGATAGATGATATATAAATAGACTGACAGATGATAGATGATGGATAGATAGATGATAGATAGATAGATAGATAGATAGTAGATAGATAGATGATAGATAGATGATAGATAGATAGATAGATAGATAGATAGATAGATAGATGATAGATGGATGAATAGATGGATAGATGATAGATACATAGATGATAGATGATAGATAGATAGATAGATAGATAGATAGATAGATAGATAGATAGATGATAGATGTGCATGATGTAGATATATGTCAGACTGACAGAGAGAAGCTAGGTTCCCTGTTCCCCGAATCCCTTTGGAAACTTGCCTCCTACCCAACCAACTTCATCATACCAGCTCCGTAATTCCTCTTCACCCCCTGATTAAACCACCATGTTGGGACCAGGATTTCATCACATTTTCCTTTCGAGGTCTGTTATGGAGACTTTACATAATGGATTAATTCGTGTTGGCTCTGTTTTCTGTAATGAGGCTGTTACCTCCCAAGTTTTCTGCATGAGGGACTAAGTTTCTAACGCATGAATTTGGACATCACCAAAATAACCACAACAAGAATATCAACGATCTGCACATTACCCTCCAAGGAGCTCAATTTCCTTAGAGACCTCTAGGCCATCTGCACCTCAATAATGAGAATTTGTGTGAGAATAGATAAAGAAATGTATAAATAAACACAAGTGGGCTGTGAGACCACAAACTTTGTCCAAAGGGACCGTTTGAATTTTTAAGAACTAGATAATAATGATAAACTGTACAGATTGAAAAATAATAATAATAATAATCCCAGCATGAATTCAGAAGGAAGAGACAGGGCAGTCTCTACGAGACTGAGACCAGACGTGTTTACGTAGCAAGTACCAGGCAAGCTTGGACTACAGAGACACACTCTTTCAAAAAATTAATAATAAAAAAATGATAATAATTATAATAAAATATGCCCTTCAAGCAGAACGAGATGAAAACTGTGTTTGATCACCAGCTTTGTAGAAGTTCCTCTCTTTTTTTTTTTATTTTATGTGTTTGCGAGTGTTGCCCACATGTATGTAAGCAATGCCCGCAGAGGACAGAAGAGGCTGTCGGATCCCCTGGCCCTTCAAGCAGAACAAGATGAAAACTGTGTTTGATCACCAGCTTTGTAGAAGCTCCTCTCTTTTTTTTTTTATTTTATGTGTTTGCGAGTGTTGCCCACGTGTATGTAAGCAATGCCCGCAGAGGACAGAAGAGGCTGTCGGATCCCCTGGAACTGGAGCTACGGACAGCTGTTGGCTGCCATGTGGGAGCTGGGTTTCGAGCCCAGGTCTTGTGGAAGAACAACCAGTGTTCTTAACTGCTGAGCCATCTCTCCAGGCCCGAGTTCCTGTTTTCAACCAGCGAATCAGTCAGTTTGAAACGGAGAGGGAGGAAACTCTCTCAAGGAGGGTTGCTATTCGAGCCGGGGTCTTGTGAAAGAACAGCCAGTGTTCTTAACTGCTGAGCCATCTCTCCAGCCCCGAGTTCCTGTTTTCAACCAGCAAAATCAGTCAGTTTGAAACGGAGAGGGAGGAAACTCTCTCAAGGAGGGTTGCTTACTGTGTTTCATGGAAAACATGCCAAGAACTGCCCCCCAAATTTTGTCTTCCATTGTAAGACCAAAAGTCAATATATCCCAAATTCTGCCTTGAACCTTAACTCTGCAGACATTTGTGTTTAAGCATCTTGACCTGAATCTTCATTTTTTTATGTATGCTTCTCCTGTCTCACAGAAACAAATTTCTTTTTTTTTTTAATTTTTACAAAAACTTTGAGACTTGCATACATGCATATAAGGTGTTGATCAAATCCATGCCCACTCCCTCCCCTCCAACATTCCCCCCTCTGAAGAGGTAACCCTAAAATCTTTTAAGGATTAGACACAAGCTCCCAAATACTTTTGACAGTTTAGGCCTTTGGAACAGAGTATGTTGCTAACAGGCCCAAGGACATCTTGACTTTTAGCCAAGAAACTGGCTACTTTTCTTGGTCTTTTTACCCTAGTGCCTAGCCTATTCCTACCTCCTGTTCTTATCACACCATCCTCTGAAGGGGTTCCCCAAATTATAGATAGGGAATAGGGACGCCGACTGCTTGGTCTTCTTCCATGCTGAATAGGGATGCAGGGTGAGGCAATTGGAGTACCCCTTCAGTGGGTCTATCTAAAAGACTCCCAAATTGCAAAACTC